AATACCATCCTCCCCTCAACATGCATCAGCTCAGACACGGACAGGCACCAGCTAAATTTCAGGCACCTGTGCTTGTTGCTGCTGAGGGCAAAGTAAATAAAACATGGCCCATGTTTTGGAGGTAACCAAGCTCACCCTTTAGAGGGAGGACTATATGAAAGGCAATATCTCATAGCAGATAACCTGACCTACCTGCCATATAACATGATGTATATTCATACTTCCTACATAATTACATCGTGCCATTATTTTTTTTAAAGATTTTAATTTATTTACTCATGAGAGACATACACAGAGAGAGAGGGGCAGAGACACAGGCAGAGGGAGAAACAGGCCTCATGCAGGGAGCCGGATGGGGGACTCCATTCCGGGTCCTCATGGTCACACCCTGGGCTGAAGGCAGCGCTAAACCGCTGAGCTACCCGAGCTGCCCACAACATGGGGCATTATTATATCATTATTATATTATTATACATATATTATATCAATATTGCATATCATATAAGTTTTATTATATACATAGCGTATAATATAGTAGAATAGAACTCATAGTAAATACGTTTACTTTATCTAGGAAACAGGCAGTGCTTTGGGGGTCACAATTTTGTGCATGCACCCTAGGCGCATGGCAGAGCAGAATTGTGAGCTTGGGAAGTTTTGCCACCAGCTGTATACCATTCTCCTTCTGACACTTTCTGACTTGCATTAGTTTTCTAGGGCTGTCATAACAAATCACCATAAACTGGTTGGCTTCTCTCACACACGACACACACATTTATTCTGGAGGCTAAAAGTTTGAAATCAAGGTGTCAGCAAGGCCATGATCTCTTCAAAGGCTCTAGAGAAGGATTCTCTTCCTCATCTCTTCTTGTTTCTGGTGTGTCTGGCAATACTTGGTGTTCCTTAGCTTATAGATGCAGGACTCCCAATTTCTGCCTCTGTCTTCACATGAACTTCTCTCCTGCAGGTCTGTGTTCAAATTGCTCTATTCTTATAAGGGCATCAGTCATATTTAGGGCCTGTCCTAATCCAATATGACCTCATCTTAACTCGATTACATTGGCAGAGACCCAAATAAGGTCATACATGTTCTGGAAAGACATGAATTTAGTGTGAATTGGGGGCATTATTTTACCAAGTACACTGTGTGCCTGCCCAGCCTTCATTGTTCACCGCCTCTTTGGAGCATCCCTCACATTTTCCCTCACACATTTCAGGACCCAGCATCCCGTTGAGCCTCACCTGGCCATTCCCTGTTGGTGTGTTGAGTGGTTGCCACAAGCTCCCATTGTTTAACTTATGAGTCTAACACAGGACTTACCTGGGCCATGTAACTGGTAACTTGTGAAGGAGGAAAGAAAGAAGGTAAACAACTCAATAGTAAAAGACCAAATACCCTGATTAAAAAAAAAAAAAAAAACAGGCTAAGGACTTGAATAGACATTTCTCCAAAGGGGATGTAAAAAGCCAACATGTATATGAAAAAATCTCAACGTCACTTATCATCAGGCAAATGCAGATCAAAACCACAATGAGATACTACCTCACACCTGTCAGGATGGCTACCATCAAAAAGCCCAATGTCAACAAGCAGTGCTGAGGAGGCAGAGACATTGGGACCTGTGTGCACTGTTAGTGGGAATGCAATTGGAGTAGCTGCTATGGAGAACAGTATGGAGGTTGTTAAGAAACAAAAAACTAGAACTACTCTATGATGGAGCAATCTCACTTCTGGGTATTTATCCAAAATAATTGAAATCAGGATCTTTTTTTTTTTAATTAAGATTTTATTTATCTATTTGACAGAGACAGAGAACACAAGTAGGCAGAGTGGCAGGCAGAGGCAGAGGGAGAAGCAGAAGCAGGCACCCCACTGAACAGGGGAGACCTATGTGGGGCTCAATCCCAGGACTCTGGGGACATGATTTGAGCCTAAGGCAGATGCTTAACTGACTGAGCCACCCAGGCGCCCCTGAAATCAGGATCTTGAAGAGATACTAGCACCTCCCTCATGCAGCACTATTAGCCATAGCCAAGACGTGGGAGGAGCCTAAGTGTCCACGGACAGATGAATGGATAAAGAAACTACCTGTGGTGTACGCATGCAGTGGAATACTGTTGAGCCTTAATACGGAGGGAAGTTCTGAAAATGCTACATCATGGATGAACCTCGAGGACATGATGCTAAATGAGTTGAGTTAATCTCAGAAAGACAAACACTGCTCGATTTCATTCATATAAGGTCACTAAACTAGTCAACATCATAGAATCAAAGAGTGAAGCAGTGGTTGCCAGGGCTGGGGGGGAGGGGAAATGAGGAGCTGCTATTCAGTGGGAATAAAATTTCAGGTAAGCAAGGTGAATCAGCTCTAGAGCTCCGCTGTACAACGCTCTGCCTGTGACCAACAGTAATGTATTGTCCCCTTGGAATGTCTTAGGGAGTAGATCTCATGTTAAATGTTTTGGCCACAAGAAAGGAGAAGAAAAGAGAAAAGAGAAAAAAAGAAGAAGCTGAGAATCCTTACATCTTATTTCTATTGCTCCTTTGGCAATTTTCGTTTCCTGGGCCTTGCATCACAATTTACAACGTGATAGTTTCCTGGTCTAACGTAATTTATGACAATAGGGAAAGTGTGGGAAGCTGTGAAAGCCTGAACCCTCTGCCTCTCTGGCACAGCTGTGTGCACATGAGCTGAAGGGTGCGGTGTGCACACCACTCCCAGCATTGTCACCTTCAGCTCTGTGACCTGTGGCCACTGGGTTACCTGTTTGGGGCTTCAGATTGGACTCTGGGCATGGTGGCAGGAGCTCTACATCTAGAACCAGATCACCTGGGTTCAATCCAGGGATGCTTAGGCTGGTCATTTCCTTTCTTTGGGCCTCAGTTTCCACATCGTGCAAAAGGGTGATGATATGCCACTGCATCGGCTTCTCATGAGGAATAAATGAGTTAATATTATATATGAAGCATTTCCAACAGTGCCCGAAAATGTAGACGTGGTTGTTATTATTATATGATTTCCTGTCCAGCTAGTAAGAATTCTAGTATTTTACTAGTTTCTCCTTCAATTCTCTTATCACTGCCCACCCACCCCTGTACCCCTACCAGAGGTAAAACAGGTGACAGTATGTGGATGTGGCTTTTGGTTTTGGTTTTTAATTCTCTGCTTATCACTTTTAACTGGCCCTGGGGAAGATGTCCTTTGTCTGGAAGTCTTAAAGGACCAGGAACCAGGTGCCTGTCGAGTGAGTACTTCTTGGGAAGAAGGTCTTAGATAGCTGACATCATAAACTCCAGTTAGCACCAAGCTATTATTAAATTAATAGCTGCCTGTCTGAGTGTGGCTTTATCAGTAACTTAAGCTCTGTGGGTAGGTGTGGAACCCACAATGTGGCCTCCCACCTTTCAGATTTTATATAACGGAGCCCATGGTGTCTCAGCTACTCAAGAGTGGGTCTGTTTCCAGCACGGAGGAAAAGCGAGACCTGAATAAGGATGGGGCTTTTGGCCTAGTTAAGAGAGAGGTAAAATAACTGTAATTTCATAGCAATTACCTACAACCAACACCGCCAAAGGCGCCAGTTTTCCGTGATAAACCTGAGCCTCTGCTGGGAGCAATTTGCAAGGTAGAAATAAGCGCACAATTAGGCTCTCCTGTATGAAGGGGGCATCGGCCCCTCCCCATCCAAATGCCACAGCAAAACAAACCATAGAGGGGAAAATATTGTGTTGCATTTTGGAAGTGCATTTTCCCCCTCCTTCTCTTAAAAAAAAAAAAATCTTTATAAGCCCCCATTCCAGGATGTTGTTTGGATTGTTTGCAACTTTTCCAGGAATCTCCAGGGACCTTCACTCTCCTGGTGCTCCCTGTTGGTTGGAGAAAGGGGCCACCCATTCTGGGGGATCCACCAGCAAACTAGAGTCAATGGGTGATTTCTCCCTCTAATTGCCATGTCAGGAGCCCTTACAACACTCAGTGGAAATAAATTATACAGAGATCAATTTCCCAACCTTTCTGTTTGCTTATGTGTTTGCTGAAAATGAATTCCTTATAAAATTCATGTCTCTGCAGCCCACTCAGAAGTAAAGCTAGACTTGTCTTTCAGATGATAAAAACAAACAAATAAACCAGAAACAAAAAAAAAATGTAATGTAATTTTGAGAGAGGGAAATCTAGCCAGCAGAAGTATGCAAGTCCTCAACCATGCCATCTGTTATTGTTATGTATTTGTTCCCACCTTATCCGCCAGCCAACCCCACAGAAGGCCACCAGCTCCTTAGCTAAATGCATTTTTGAATGCCCTGTCTAAATTTCCTCCAGTGCCTTGTACATAATTGAGAGTTAATATGCCTTTATCAAGGAAAAGGATAGTTTAACAAGTGATGGCTTATTGACACTGAGGTCAAGGATGAGTCATAGCTCAGGGAGCTATTGATTCAAATATTGAGTCTGCTATCTAGACAAAGAGAGATGAGGTCAGAGTCTGAGGTATTTGTACTCATGATATATCATGGAGCAAGGGCTAAAGGGTAGAACAGAGTAAACTAGAAAGGAACATAGTTTGGCTAGGTATAGCCAAAGGAAAGCATTTCTAATTGTTAGAACTACCCTCAGAATGGACGGTGCATGGAGATATTAAAGCATAAACACAATGATTACTTGGAGGTATAGAAGTTGGTGGTCCAACATCATTTATTTGGACTGTGTGATGTTGCAGGTCTCCCTGTACCCTGAGATGCTAGGGTTCTATGGTTTCAGAAAGCTTTGATACATAATCACCATACTGGGAACTCAGATTCAGTTCAGCACATATTTATTACGTCCTTGCTGTGTCTCAGGCATTGCCCTGCATAGACATGAGGAAGACAACAATAAGGTAGGGCGACTGCCCTTTGAAGTTAGGCTGGGTCATGGCTTTAGTCAGTTCTCCGACGGGGGTATATTCCCTCTTGCTAATATGCACATGCTGACTTAGGACTCTGGTTCTCTTCTTTCTAGGCTGGAATTGATGGGGAAAGCATTGGCAACTGTCCCTTCTCTCAGCGTCTCTTTATGATCCTCTGGCTGAAAGGCGTTGTGTTCAATGTCACCACTGTGGATCTGAAAAGGTAAACGATGCTGTGTTAATGAGGGATGTGTCTGGCTGCAGGAACAGAGAACTTTCTATGAGGGAAGGTGAAAACCTGCCCATGGCTTCCAGCAGCCTCCTGCTCACACCTCATTGGCCAGACTGTGTCTCAGACACCCCCCCCACCTCCCCCTTACAAGAGAGGCACCTGGGACTGAGCATTTCTCTGCTTGATTATGTTTGATTAGGAAGAAAGAGGGAAGGAATGGATATTGGATATGCAACTAAGAGTGGCCAGAGGTGGACATGCATATGTTAAAATCCAGGAGTCAGCCCCTCTGGCAGTACTAGCGTCCCATCCTGGGGACCCTGGCAGGACTTCAGGTCTAAGAGTCTGAGTTTCCAGGGCATTGGCATCCAACCATTTCCCCTGCTTTGCTCTCATTTTTAGAATTCCTTAGTGTGAAAGTTCTGGATAATAGGCTGGGATGGAGAGTTGCTCGTGCAGTTTTAATGGCTGTTAAAAATGCCGGGCATCATTCACTATCAAGAGCCACTCATCTCAGGCTTGTATCCTGTTTCCTGTCCTTTCAATGTTGAGTAGCTCCAGGCTCCAGGCTCACTCCCTGAGCCTTTATGGCTGCTTGTAGCCTCTTCCCTGGTGAGTTTAGCATATTCTCCATGTCACCTTTATGTAAATTATTCTATACCCATGACCCTACCACCTAGAAATCTCTAGATATTTCCACTTGCATTTTCTATTATCACTTTAAAACCCAAATGTCAAAGATTCCATCTGTCATTTCTCCTTTAAATTGGGCTCCCCTCCTGAATTCCTGTGTTCTTCCATTTTTCTAAGCACTGGAGATTTTCCAGGTCCCTTCTCATGCTCCCTCCCTTGTCAACCAGTCCCCAAAGGCAGGGCACTGTCCCACTGTGCTACCTGTGAGCCCTCTCATCCGTTCTCAAAGCCCACACTGGATTAAAGTCCCATCACTGCCAGCCAGAGACTGTCTCTTTGTTTTTCCAACTGGATGTTTTCCTTCCCGGTTCTCTTGCTCTTTCTCTGATCCTAGGGTTATTATTATTATTATATTGTCCTAAGGTTATTCTTCCTAAAATAGTCCTTTAATCATGTGCCTCTCCACCCTTCTCAGAAAAGCTCCTGATATTTCCATTACCTGTGGAATCGTGCCTGTGTCATCTGTAGCTCTTTGATCTTAAGCTTTGCCAACATTGTCTCCCAATGCTTCTCACCAGGACCTAGCTACCTCTGTCAGCTCCCCCTCCTCCCATCCCCTTTAGCTTCCAGCCCCTGGCTAGGATGCTCCCTCTGCCTCACAGATGCTCTCCTGCCTTCCTGAATGGACAGACCTTGCTCAGCCCCCAGGTGCAGCTTTGGCTCCCTCCCCTAGATCATCATCTCTGAGAGCAAGCTTGCATGTTGGCTGAGGATCAGAATGGGAAAGAAAGCCACCTCAGCATTCCTCAGATGCTTATATTGCTCTTTCATACCTATTAACTGACCCTGCCAATGCCCATTGAGGCAGGCCGGGCAATATCCCAACTCCAGTTGAATAGATAAGGAAACTTTCTTACTGCAAAATAATAATAATAATAATAATAATAATAATAATAATAATATTTTTTAAAAAAGGACAGAAAAGGAAAGAAAGAAAAACAGAAAAAACATAGGTATAATAAAGAGTTAAGGACTTTTTAAAATGTGTGATACGGTGATGATTAGCAATTTCAAAGAAATTTCATTAGAAATTAATTTCTTATCCTGGCACCACACCATTTATTGACTGAGTGACCTTGAACAAGGTCCTTCCTTTGTCTGCGCCTCCATTTCCTCGTCTGTACAATGGGGTTACAAGCACTGCCTCCTTTCAGAGTGTGAGGAGGTGGTGAGGCAGGCCACAGAGGCATTTACATTCAGTACTGTGCCTGGCTCACAGCAGGAACACAAGCTGACTATTCTTAGCACCCTCCCTTCCCTCACTGAGCTGGTGATGCAGTCAGGGAAAGAGGACTGATATGGATGAGATAGTCCATAAATTCGACTTGGCAATATGGAATTAAATGCAAATTGTATCATCTCAACCATAAATGCTGGAGAAGGTCAACAAAGAGAAAGGTCTGCAACTGGCCAGCATCCCATTGGCTAAGTCCATCTGAGTAGCTACCACCATAGGCAGTCCTCCCCAGTGATTCCAGACTCCAGAGGCCACTGTTCTCTTGAGTCACGGCAGGGGCGGGGGGTGGGTGGGTGGGAGGAACAAAATAATTTCTGTTTCTTTAAGCCACAGGGAGGTGATGGGTGAAAAATATAATCAGTATAGATTTCCCCTCCCAGCTGCAAACCCAAACATTCTTGCCTTGTGTCAGCTCTGAAAAACAGGAGGAGAAGGTAGAGAATGTCCTCTCATTGTCCAAAGGAGGGACGCATGCTGCGCAAACAAAGGGACCAGGCGAATGAGATTTTAAAACTCCTCAGTCCCAGCTGTCTTGGGAGTTCCAAGTGCTGTACACAATGCAGCTGGAGAGGATGTGTGTTTGGGGAGCGATATGGGAGGAGCACCGTAATTGAAATTCTTCCCTTCCCCTCCCAAACTGGTGACGCCAAGAATTTGTTTCATTACAGACTCCTCTTCCCCCTTGTTTACTTTTCTTTGGTTGCTCCATCTAATGTTTTCCACTTGATCAAGACTCCCACAAGTGTTGAGTTCTCTGCGAGAGCATTCAGGGTGAGTCTTCCCTTAGCAGGGAAGCGTGTCCTCTGTTGCTCCTCCTGTTCCTTACTGTTTCCTTCCTCACTGCTCTCACCCCACGCCCCCTCCTCCCCACCCCCCTCCGCCAACCTTCCAACTTTCGCTTTGCTCCAGGCTTGGGCTTGCATTTCCACCAGCTGGTGGAAGCCTGGAAGCATGCCCTTGGACACTGTCTGGGCCTTGGTGAACACAAGGCCACTTTCTCTCCTGTTGCGCATCCCTTTGACAATGCAGAAGACATTTCTTAGTATAAAAGTATGATTGAATTCATTGATTTGTAAAGTTTGGCATTCTATATAGTGCATTTTTGTTAAGCTAAGTGGTGAAGGAATGTTGGAAAGCAAAGCCCATCCTCTGCCCTGGGTGTTAAAAGCCTGGCACTCCTTTAGATAGCCACCTGCCATTTCTCTCTGCTTTTCCAGATTTGACTCTTCCTCTTAACTTACTCTCATGACTCCCACTGGACAGACTTCCTGTGTCACACCACATCCCATCAGAACTTTCTCCAATCACCCCTGCTCTACTCACCCTCCCACCACCATCACCATAAGTCTGATTTTGCTGACAGGAGTGCTGGACAGCCCAGGGAGTCTAATTTACAAGCTGCAGGTTCCCTGAAATTGAGGTGCCCTGGTGTAAGCCACTTCCTGAATCTTGTTCTCTCCACAGAAAGCCAGCTGACCTGCACAACCTTGCACCTGGCACCCATCCACCCTTCCTGACCTTCAACGGGGATGTGAAGACGGATGTCAATAAGATCGAAGAGTTCCTGGAGGAGACTCTAGCTCCTGAAAAGTAATGAGCTGCTTATTTCTGAAGCTAATAGCAGGGTTGGGTTTGTGTTGGAACTAGAGAAGCATAGCGTTAGCTTCGAGGAGGCAGATTTCCAAAGGAGCCTCATCAATCCAGAGAGCTGCCCAACCTTAAAACGTCTCCACAAAGTCTAACTCCAAGAGCGGATACCCCTCTGAACAGGATATGCCTCCTAAACAGAGCACCAGGAAGGGTGCCACCCCTCTGTCCCCCTATGTGAGTCCTCTTCAGGTCATTTTGCTGGAAAGACCCTAAATGAGGGCCAGGACTCCCCAGTTTTAGAACGAGATCTAGAAGGCTACAAAATGAGAATAAGTCAGGAGAGAGCTAACCCCATAACTTAAAGCCACATCTAGGTATGAATAGGAGTCACGAATCTGACCATGTCTGGTTGGAGCCCATAATCAAAGATGAAAAGACTGACTCTTCTTCTAACGTGAGCCTGGGGGTTGGGGGTAGAAGAGAGACCAGAGAGCTGTAGGTTCTTGGGTGGACCAGCTGTTCCTGTTGGAAAAATGGAAGGAAAGGGAAAGAAGATGAATTCTGGAAGTTACTGGAAACTAAACTTGTTCATTATACTCTATATTGTAATCAGGGATTAAAACAACCACGTTGTTTTGTTTTAACCAGGAAAAGATTTCATATAGGTAAGGCATATATACACTCCATCCTGTAGGACAGCCACTGAAAAATTTGAACCGAAAGTGTTTAGAGTCAGTTTTCAAGCTTACTTCAGGGGGGTGAGAGGATGAAGATGGCAGAGGGTAAAAAAGCTGGAAGTGGAGTAATCAGTAAGCAGGAGCCAATTGGTGACAGGCCATGTGGCTGAACTAAGGCAGTGACAGTGACCTGGGGGCAGAGAGGTAGGAAGGACTCAGAATCTCTAGTGAGCTCATAAAATAAACAGAATTTGACCACTGGAAACCACTATATTGCATTTATTTTGAAGTTGTATTTATTTATCAATACTTATATAGATAGCCCTTGCCAAGCGCCCTAGGAGATAGATGGTATGTAGCTTCATTTTACAGCTGGGGAAACTGAGCCATTGAGAGGTTGTGTAACTTTCCCAAAGTCACACATCCAACAAATCAGTGTTAAATTAAAACTCCCGGTCATGCTGTGATTAAGCCTTAACATTTATACATTCTTCCTAATAAGTATTCTTTGTCATTCACCTTAGGACAGTTTATTTTCACACTGAGTGGAAAGCTGCCTCAAGCCCATTGGAAGCAGCTGAGTGTAGACTTGAAATGAGTGCATTGATCAAATCAGCCATCACCTCCATCTCAGCCACCACCAGAAGCCACAGCATCTCTGAATAGGACACCAGTCAGCCACTTTGCTGAAAGGATCCTGAGGGGGTCCAGGTGCCATCTCCCTCCCTTAGGACTCAGCCTCAGGGCCGCTGCTGGTTGGAAATCCCATATGCAAAAATACTGTTTGCAGTAACTGAACAGAGTTTAGACTTTGTGTGGAAGACCCAGAAGAGAAGGTCCAGGGTGAAGCTATTTTCCTTGAAGTAAGATTTGTACTCAGGAGTGACCACTTCTGTCTAGGCCAATGGGAGATGTGAAACAGAAGCAGCAGGGAGCAGACTGTCCCATCCAGTCCTTTCCCAGGCCAATAGTTGGAGGTATTCAGGGCTGGGTTGAGGCTTGCTCTCCTAATCCTGCCAGTGGTGTGCTGTGACCCTCGAATGTTCCTTCTCTGCTCTCTCCCTCCATTCCCTCCTGTTCTTCATGCCCACTTTAGCCAGGCTCCCACCACCCCAACTGGCTGTGCTTTTCCTGGACTGATTATCTTACTCAGGGCTCTCCAGTCCTATATCCACAGTGGGGCCAAGGGGGGTAATGAGACCCCTGGAGTTTCATGCCCCCAGTACACGTGTACATTCTTCCAGAGGAGGACCATCATCAGATCCATCATCATTTCACCAGATTCCAAAAATTTGCCATGATCTAACCAGTGTTGGACATTGACACTCCCTCCTCTCTTCCCTGTCCATGCACATTCCCTGTCCTGAGTTCTGCTTCCTCTGGTCAATGTCTTTTTCTGGACTGCATTTGTATGTGGGAGGTTTTCCTCAGTGCATTCCTAATGTGTCAGTGATGCAACAATCCACCACACCCAAGGAGCAGAACCTCAAAACCATTAAATGCATGTCTGGATAATGCCATCGAGATGGAGGCCCTACTGAATAGACTGGCAACCATTCAAGAGCCCCCGGAGTGTGCTTTAGAGGCCTTTGGATGGGTCATCCTGGGGCAGATGCTGCAGTTACCAATCAGTAAATGCCCTCAAGCCAGTGCCTCAGCCCCGCAGAGGGAGACCTGCTGTCCAGCCCTGGCCGGCTGCCCACTGATTGGAGCAGCAAGGCCCAGGTGGCTCGCAGCTGAAGGCCCCTGGAGGAGTGCAGCTTGACCTTCTGGTTCTCTAGGGGGCAGCAAAACCCCCATAACTGTTCACTGAACACAGCTCTGCCATGTGTTTCTCATCACACCACTGTTTGTGAAAGTTGCCAGAGAGCCAAGAAATTGTGGTAGCCTTTTTCCCCTTAGCTTTATTTTTTTAAAGGAAAAAACCTCATGTGAACACTCCAACCATTTTTTTTTTAAGTCACATTTGGTCCCACAAAGAATTTCGTGTCAAATGGAATTCAGGAAGTCTCAAGTAGTTTCTAAATGGGACTAACTTCCATTTCTTTCCTAAGACTGGCCCAGTTAACACTCAATAGGGAAGCACTGGGATCAACGTCTCGATTACTGTTGAGGCATGCTGGGCCTCATCTTTCACCTCCATAGAATGGCCAGAGTTCCAAGGATCCAGAGCCGAGAGGCCAGAGACCAGACTCTAGCCACCTTTCTGCAGAGTTTGCTGTATGACCTTGGGCAAACCTCTCTCTCATTTCCTCATGAGGGGGTGAAACTGCATAGTCCCTAAGATGCCTTTCAACAGAAGCTCTATGATCCCATGAAGGGCTCAAAGCACTTTTCTAAAGCTGGATATTATTTAAAATACCCCTCATGCGTAGATGCTATGATAAGAAGTCAGGAGGGTAAACTGATAATGTAACATGGCACAGCATATATAGTCAGTCAACTAGCAAGCATATACTGAGTGTCAACAGGGTCCAGAACATTGTAAGAATTGGAAGACACTTTGAATTCATTATTTTGAGAAGTGTTTATAGATATCACACAGTAGTGAAAACCATGAATGCTTCTTCTAACTCTCTGGGAAGTAGAGAAGCCTCCTTGGTACCAGGGACAGGATTGCCTGGTGGCTGAGAAGGTGGACTTTGGGGTCAGAACAGCGTTTATTCTAATCCACACCTGGAGATTGTGCCACAAAAATTAGCCACAAAATCTCAGTGGCTTAACAGAATAACAGTTTATTGTTCACTATGGCAAAATCTAAGTGAGCAGTATGACTGTATTGTAGCCTTTGGAAATGTGACTCCCAAGGCTCCTTCACCGGAGATAAAGTAAGAAGGTTCATGCCAAATGTTTTAAGGGCCAGGGCTGTGAGTAGTTACATCACTTTCCCTCTCATCCTATGGCCAGAATCCAGTGGCATGACCCCAGTCTAACTGAGAGGTAGAAGCTGGGAAATGCAGGGAAGCACATGGATATTTAATCTTTAATTCTCACAATGTTGATCTCGTGGGACTATCATAGAAGATAATACTACTTAGCCTTGTGCCAGACATTGAGTAAAAGCTCATTAAATGGCACCCTGAAGCATTAGGAAGAGGGGTCACTACCTTTTTTTGTGACTGTCTTCCAGATGTAATCATAAGGACCTCAATCTTAAACCCACAGATCCCAAGGGATGTCTTTTAATGGCTAAGCCAGACCTTTTCTACCTCTAAGGATCATTTGCTTAATTAACAGAGACAAGACAAGCAAGGACACAGTCAAGGATCAATAGAGTCAGAAGCATTGACCGGTTTTTCAAGTGAAGGTTTGTTGAGATGAGGAAGCAGGAATAAAAGAAAAGGGAGAGAGCTTTTCAGTTCATTAGAAAAAGGGTGATAAACACTAAAGGTGCCAGGGGAGCCCTTAAGATCAACAAAGGCCCCTCCATTCGGGCAGGAGAATTGTCTCCAACGCCAGGGACAGGACTTGGCCATGGTGGATGCTTAATGCATGCTGGTTTTATTGCATGGGACCCTTTTGTTCAATGGCATGGTGGCCTGTGGCTAGTCAGTGAGAAGTCAGTGGGAACCCTAAGTGAGTCAGAGCACTTCCATCTGCATATAATATATATATAATATATATATTATATATATAATATAATATATATATAATACATATATTTCACTATTGTTTACAAAAATTTTTTAATGAGAGGCCAACTATTTTGCATCCTGGAATGAAGGAATGAGGCTTAAGTGCATGTCTAAGATGAATGCATTTGAAATAAGATATCTTAAAAAATAGAATGGAGAGAAATTATCATCCAGTTAGAGCAGGATTCAGCAAACTTTTCAGTAAGGGGCTAGATAGTAAGTCTTTGACTTTGGGGGCCATAGAGCCTGTGTCACAACTCTGATGTTATAGAGTGAAAACAGCCATATACAACACAAAAACAAATGGAAGTGGCTGTGTTCTAATAAAATTTATGACTACTGAAATATGAATTTCATATTTTTACATGTCATAAACAAAATACTAACCTCCTTTTGATTTTTTTCAATCATTTAAAAATGTTAAAAAAAACTATTCTTCGCTCCTGAGAAGTATAGAAACAGATATTGGGCTGAATTTGGTCCATGGTTGTAGGCTATTAACTCCTGAGTTAGGTTCACCATCTCTTTGATGGTCATCAGACCACATCACAATCTTACTTCAAAGATGTTTCCATGAATGAAACATTATTTTTTAGCCTTCTAGAGAAGCAGAATGTACTCGTAGCCCAGTTATTTGAATATACAAAACATGGTGTAAATGTGGAGTTAAAATGAATGCCCTTAGCATCCCCAAGATATTAGAGTAGTCTCCTCAAGTCTAGTCACCAAAATCAGTGAGATTAGTATTTGGATACACATTCCCCACAAAGACAAACTTCAAATGGGACATTAAGCTGTACAATAAAGTCTCAGTAAATCATAGTGCTTAGGAAACAGGACAGCACTGGCATGGTTTCCCTGAACACATGGCCCTTTGTTCTCCCATCTTAGATTTGGTTCTACTTACTCATGTTGGGCCCACATCAATTGTGAAGATATGGTCAGATTATTGCAAGCCTAATCAAATGATGGCATAAAGCAAAACCAAAACAATAAACCCAAACAAAAAGCTTATTTAAAATGCCTTTTCTAGGCCCTTCTTTTTTTACCTTTTCAAGCAAAAATCAAGGGCCCTTGGTATCTATTAATAATAATTTAAGGCAATCAGTTGTGAGAGCCTGCCAGATTCTAGGTGCGAAGTTCAAAATAGGGAAGGATCATCCTCAATTGCCATAATCTTGGATTAACTAGCATCTTGCCAATAACTTGCCTGCTGCCCCCCAATAGCAGCAGATGGATCCGATAATTCCCAGTTTATTCCGGAAGACCTGTGTCTTCCTGTGAGCGCCCTCTGCAGGTGAATGGAGAGAGTTCATCCATGGTGCTCAGCAGAGCTGGAGGGAGGACTGGAGCTTTTAGAGTAAATAGCAGAGCTCAGGAGAGGCCACAGGACACAGAAGTGGAGAACTGGTCTTTCAGAGTGAACCTCTCTAGTGATCTTAGGCTCTAGCCATGTGACCTTAAACAAATAGCTTAACTTCTCTGGGCCTCATTTTTCTCATGTGGAAAATGAACCCAATCAAAGTACCAATAGAACTGTGAAGAATAAATGATGAATACATGTAAAGGGGCTAGAGGAGTGCCTGGCACACAGCAGGCACTCGATACGATTTAGCTTTTGCTGGTATCAGAGAAGTGGTGAGATGAAATAGGAAGAACGCTGCTCCAGGGGGTAGGCCGGGTTCTCAGGGTCCCCCAACTATTTATTATCCGTGCGTCTGTAAAAAGCCATCTTACCTCTCTGGTCTCTAGTTGTCTTTCCTGTAAAGTGAGGACCATAATGCCTTCTGTATCTGCCTTATTGCAGAGGGCTGGGTCCTGTGACTTTCTGAATACTCTTCTGATGGCAACATCTGAAATTAAACAGTTACCTAGCATGGCTCAAGAGTGGACAGTCCTAGCTAGATAATGGGCCAATCGAGGAGCAGCAACTAAAGAGAGAAAGAAAGAGAGAGGGAGAAAGGAAAGGAAAGGAGGGAGAAAGGAAAAGAACAGAATAGAACAGAACAGAAAAAAGAAAAGAAAAAAAGAAAGAAAGAAAGAAAGAAGAAAGAAAGAAAGAAAGAAAGAAAGAAAGAAAGAAAGAAAGAAAGAAAGAAAGAAAAGAAAAAGAAAGGAAGGAAGAGAAAATAATTTTTAAAGACTCTTTGGTTCACATTATTTACAACATTAAAGGAAATTTACAAAGCATTTTGCTTTTCAACATAAAGCAATCAAACAGTGGGCAGTAGACAACTATTCACCCAGAGATCACAAAGGTCCACATAATTGATAATGATGGTAAGTAAACAACCGTTCCCCATCTCCTTCCACTGCTGCAAGGCCATACACATAAAATGTTTGTGAAATAACATTTCTAGAAAATTCGATGTTGCTAAGGGGCTTTAAGCCGTGGACTCCTACACAAGTCTATCTCATTCAATTTTAGTCCTAACTCCAGTCTGCCTCTTATATTCTTCTGGCTTCAAATGAAAGACTGTGCCAAGGTGAGAGGCTGGATCACTGCAAATCTAGCTCCACGCGTGGAAATGAAGCAATCAGAAACACTTGTCCTGCTGTTAGAGGCAGTAGATTTCATATCTCATTATGCACACAAATAAGACGTGTGCGAAGGATATTTCAGAAGAGGACCAAGGGTACCTTTTCTTTTGAGAAACAGTTTCAAAACCTCAGTGGCAAGGTGCCTAGTATCTCCTGGCTTCCAGAATTAGCTCTGTACAGTTAGGATTATCATCACAGGCCTGGCAGTGGATATTATTTTAATATGGGTTGGGGAAATGTCAGGGACCCCACCCAATGTTGAGGCAAGCTCCTCCAGAATATCGATTAGCCCTTTCTTTGGTGTAGCACTGTTTGGTGGTCTCAGAAGAGGACATGATTCGGGCCCCCTAAAGGGTTTTCTGGTTTCCTGCCCACAGATTGTGTCCCCCACAGGCAGCACTCCTTACCTCACTGGCCTCTATTTTCTCTGTCACTTAATTGGGACAGAGAGTACCCACCCTCTCTATAGGATTTACATAAGATTCCTGAAAGATTTGTAGATGACACTAGAAAGGGGAATGTTGCTCGTCGTGTTGGGCACAGTCTCTCCCTTAAAGGAGCTCCAAGTTCTCACTGATTGTAGAAAACCATGTTTTCCATTCCAGGTACCCCAAACTGGCTGCAAAACACCGGGAATCCAACACGGCAGGCATCGACATCTTCTCCAAGTTCTCTGCCTACATCAAAAACACAAAGCAGCAAAACAATGCTGGTGAGTGTCCCCCTTCCATCCAGAGCTCCTGGCAGTAGTATCTGCTACCCAGGACATCTCAAGTACTCAGGTCAGAGAAGCGCCTGGAACCAGTGCTGTTCACTGTTCGCCCACATCTGAGTCCTCTCTGACACAGGGAGGGGTGGTAGATCCTTCTTTTTGTCTAGTGCAAAAGTAAAGACCAATGGGCCTTTGTGCTGAATTTGGAGGGAGGGATGCACGTTGTGTTCCGGCCTGCCTTACTGCACAGCATTATGGTTGACGCAGAGGTTTCCTGCTTTGGCCATATGCTGTTCATTTGTCCCAAATTCACAACCCTGTCTGTGTTCTTGGGAGGCTCTGACCAGAACCACTTATCCCAGCTTCCTTCCCGTCCCTGAAAGCCTCCTCAAGGAGTTGTGCAGAGGCCATGGTGGGACAGCATGGTCACCATGTTGGTGAATGCTACAGGCAGAGCCTGGCCCTTTGCATTCTCCCCTACTGCAAGTGCAGAGGGTACTGGGGAACCCACATCTCAACACCTGGCTCATCTTCCATCTGGCCTTGGCTACAGAGCCTAAGACTAATTCTCCCATGAGGCCTTCTCAGAGGGGTCTCAATGCCTCATTTAAGCTTATAGCACTTTAAGTATCTCATTTGGCCTTTCCTTTAAGAATGAGACAAAGCAATATGAATAGAACCATCAAACTGAGTATGTGTAACATCTGAAGAACTGTGTCAGGCCCTGGGAGGAAAAAGAAGAAGGATGAGAAAATTCGCTTGACTCTCAGTGGGAGAATGAGACTGCCCTATGGGTGGGAGCCTGGAGCCCAGCACAGAGCCAAGCAGAGCAAAGGCTTCATGGATCTTTGTGAACAAATGAGTGAATGAATGACCATCAGATGAATACACAATGGACCCAAAGAAGGTGGGATATGCTACATGCTCCAGGAGCTTGGAGGAGAAAGGCATCTTTTTGGACAAGGTGACCAGGAAGGGTAGAGGAGTGTCCCCCACAAAGCCATGTTTGCTTGGGACTTGAGAGTGAGGCCTTATTTAGAAATAGGGTCTTTGCAGATGTAAGTAGTTAAGGGTCTCAAGATGAGATCATCCTGGATTTAGTGTGGTTCCTAAATCCAACACTGGTGTCTTTGTAAGAAAGGGAGAGGGGAATAAGGGGGGGGGGCACACAGAGACCAGGGGAGTGGTTCATGTGAAGGTGGAGCAGAGTTTGTAGTGCTATGACCAAAAGCTAAGGAACTCCTTGAGCTGCCAGAAGCTGGAAAAGGCAAGGAAGGACCCCCTCCCCACCAGAGCCTTGGGGAGGGAGTGTGGCCCTGCTGACATCTTGATTTTGGACTTCTGGCCTCTAATACTGGGAGAAGTGACTTCTGGTGTGTGAAGCCACCCATCTGTGGTGCTTTGTTGTGCTGGTGCTGGGACATTGAGGCAGCCCCTCATGGCGCATGAGCGAGGGCCTGCCACTGCTCGGCAGCCGAGGACCCAGAGACAAATGAGAAGCTCCTGCCTGCCAGCAGGCCAAAACTGGCTGTCAACTCTAATTTGCAGATTCCACATCCAAAGCCCTTTCCTCTCAGCCACAAATACCTTCCCTCAGACTTGTCAAAGCACCCTCAGAAGGATTATCTCATCTGAGCGTTCCAGAATTTTCAAGTTACAAATGGCATTTAGATATTATCCATATTTACAGTTCTTCTTTCCCCAAACCCAAAGCAGCAGTTTCCACTGAACATCACGTATCAGTTTCTCATAAACTCAAAGCTCTCCAATTTGTATTGTTTCCACTTCTTCTCTTTCACCCTTTTTGACTCTGGGATGCGATCTGCCCTCATGCCTCCTTCACCCGTTAGCTCATCCGTGCATGTCAGAGTACAGGCATTTCTGTTCTCCTGGAGAGTCTATCCCCATCACAGTCCTTTGCCCCATTCTTCTGTCTTGCCTGTAACTCCATACAAGTAACCATAGCCTGGGCACCCTCCCGCAGCCCTCCTCCTTCACTGTTCCTTCCCTTGACCCTTACCCCCCAGTTATGGTCTATTGGGTCCAACGGTTCTAAGGCTCAGCAAACCAGAAGCCAAGACAGAGAGTAGCACCGTGGTCCACCCCCACACCCACTTGCTTCGTTGATGGTCCCCACCCCTCTCTGCTTTGTGCCAGCTCTGAAGTTGGCAACCCCTCATGGCAGCTGCAGAAAGACACCCTAGGCTTCCTTGGACATGCCTCCCTACACTACTTTGCCATTTTTCCCTGGGGATCTACAGCTCTGCCACTATTTCTTCAATGTCCCTTCTTCAGATTGTCTCTTGTGTTTTCAGCTTCCTTTTCTCTTGAAAAGAGCTCTCCCTCCCTTCCACCTTGCCACCTAATGCCTCCCAGATCCCATATATAGCCGGCCATGGTGGTGTTCCTTTTCTGCCCTCTTGACATCAAAGTATGAAAAAACCCCAACAAAATGATATGGTCCTGCCTGGTGGGTCATTTCTTCACTCCCATGGTGAATGCAGGGACTGCCATTCAAAAGGTCCTTGTTTTCACAAAACCTCAAAAATCCCTAGTTATTGGGGCACATGAGTGGCTAAGTGGTTGAGTGCCTTGCCTTTGGCTCAAAGTGTGATCCTGTATCCCGGGTCCAGGGGTCAAGCTCCACATCGGACTCCCTGCAAGGAGCCTGCTTCTCCCTCTGCCTATGTCTCTGCCTCTCTCTCTGTGTCTCTCATGAATAAATAAATAAAATCTTTAAAAAAAAAGTCCCCAGCTACTGAAATCTAGAGGGCATCAAGGGGAGCCATCCGCAGCTAGCATGCAAGAGAACTGTTCATGGGTTCGTACATTCGGCCATTCATTTATTCATTCAACCAACACAGATTGCATGGGGCGGCTACAAGTCTGAGCTAATGCTTAAAGGGCCTTTCTTGTGTGCCAGGCACTGTGCTAGCTTCTAGAGTTGTTGAGACAAATGAGACCAAGTCATTGCCCTCAATGAGCTAACTGAAGACTATAAAACATACACAGGAGATTACCGGCCTGGGTTGGAACTCTGCATCTGCTACTTCTAGCTTTAGTAGAGAGACTCTCTCTGAGCCACTGTTTCTGCATCTGTAAAACATACTAATATTCTCAGTTTCTGCATCTGCCAAAGAAGGCAATTAAGAGCACAGCCAGGTTTGTAAGGTTTGTAATGTGGATTCATTGCCTTTATAAGTCAGTGCCTACCAATCCTTTAGCACAGTACCCAACACATGGTAAATGTTCATTTAGTGTTAACTTTGATTATAGTTGTTACTGCAAAAATGAGGCAAACTTGAATATTGGCATCAGAAACTACTGCTTCAGCTCATATTCTCTCTGCTCCCAACCAGCCCTTCTGAATGTCCCACTCATGTCATCTCATTTGCTTTGTTCCCCGCTTTCTTCGTGCCTTACCTCCTCTCCTCACATCAAAGAGGCTCTGTGGCCTAGCCCTGCCTGTCACACCTTCAGGATTGTTGCACTTGACCTGAAAGTCATGGTTTTGTTCTTTATATTGGTGTCTATCACTGTCCTACCTCCTCCTTTGGTAAACTGCTGGATCCGGGTCCCCTCGGCCTGAGGAGACCAGATCCCACCTCCATACCCTGCCACACCACCTTTTCAGACTTGCTCTTCACTTTACTTAAAGATAGCATGGGCTTTCTCATGAAATTCTCTCTCCCCATCCCCCTATTCTCACACTCTCTAAATAAATACATAAGTTAGTAAATAAATAAATTAATTAACAAATACATAACTAGAAGAAAGTCTTAAGACCTCATACTTAGTAGGATGCTACATGGGCTTACTTTCTTGTTGCTTGGGATCCCCCACCACTGTCCTGGTTTGCAGGGGGAAACAGGACTTTGTTTCTGGATGTGCTGTGTTCTCTATAGCTCAGAGACAGGCAACTGTGTGGTGGTTCAACTTGCAGACTCTGAAACCCACTGCCTGGGTTCAGACTCCAGCTTCCCTCCCTCCTACTGGCCTCCTGACACCAGGCAAGTTACATCGACTCTGTGAGCTTCAGTATCTTCATCTGTAAAATAGGTGCAGTAACTGTACATCCCTCCTAGGTGGGCTGAGAACAATGCCACCACTGGGTTCAAATGTCAGCCATTGCTTTGAGCTGTTATCCAGGGGCAAAGAGTGACACCTCAGCAGAGACATCTGGGAGAAAGGCAGAGTTTGAGGGTGTATACAAATATATGATTAAGTCCATGAGTGAGAAGAAGGGAGCACTAGGGACAACATGAAGGACCACCCATACTTATGGGAGGGCAGCGAGACAGGAGTCAGGGAGGGAGGTTAAGAAGGATTAGCCAAGGAGTAAAGAAGAAAGTTGGGAAGGGCAGAGGGCAAGGAAGATCCTGAAGATGAGGAAGGAAGGTTTTGTTGTTGCTTTTTTTTTTTTTTTTTAAGAGTGATGTGTGATACCAAATGCTGTGCAGAGGATCCTAGGAGGCGTCGTATTGTGCACAGCTCCCTGGAAGAGTCCTCAGGCATTCTTCTCTGACTGCATTCCCCTCTCCTGCAACTGTGCATTACTCAGATCCTACACAGCAAGAGGCAGTCCAGTCTGGTTGGAGAAGCAGGGCCTTCTCCCTTGGAGGCGGGAGGGGGTATAGGCACAGGAGGAACCACTTGGAGTGCGATCAAGAGCCCATCAGAAGGGATTGCTTGTGGCTCTGAGAAAGAACATTTTTGAGCATGGAGAGAGCAGCACCGGGTTTAGATCTGGCTGTAAGGAGTCTCTGCTCTGAGCCCCCAGGACAGTACTTTGCAGCAGAAGGATCAAGAGAGGGCTCCAGCTTTGGCCATCCCCCTATGGCACATCTGGTAACACCCTGGCAGTAACCAGCAGTCAGCTCTGTCTCCCCTGCCCCCCAGTCCTGTGTCTGCCTTGCTGCTTGGCCAAGAGGCAGTGCGTGGGCCTCCACCTCTCACAGCCTCCACCTCTCTCTGCAAGTGTGACCTCCTGGTTCTGCTGT